ATAAATGTTCGATACTGCTCCCAATCAGCTCTATGGTAATTGAAAGTAGAGCTGTTGGGATTACAAATTATTTCTTGGGATATTTCAAAAGTTACTGGAAGGTGATCAGAACCGAAGTCAGCATGGGTAACCAATTGGCTACAAAGTTGACATGAATCAGTTAAGACCAAATCAATAGTGGAGGGATTTCTTGCAGAAGAAAAGCATGTTGGGCTGTTTGGATATTGAATAGTGTAATAACCTGCAGAACAATCATCAAACAGAATATTACCATTGGAATTGCTTTGAGCATTATTCCATGAGCGGTGTTTTGCATTAAAATCACCAATAATGAAGAATTTAGACCTATGACGGGTAAGTTTCTGGAGGTCACCCTTGAGAAAATTCTTTTGCTGGCCTACGCATTGGAATGGCAAATAGGCAGCTATAAACGTAAGTTGTCCAAATTTTGTTTCAACAGAAACTCCCAAAGTTTCAAAAACTTTGGTTTCAAATGAAGAAAGAATTTTATGTTTGATTCGTCTATGAATAATGATGGCAACGCCACCACAGGGTCCATCAAGACGATCATTCCTATAAATCAAGTAATTTGCGTCCTTCTTAACCTTATGGGCAGGTTTAAGGAACGTTTCAGTTATAACGGCAATATGCACGTTATGAACTCTTAAAAAGTTAAATAGCTCGTCTTCATTATCTTTAAGAGATCGAGCATTCCAATTTACAATATTTAATGCTTTAAAATCCATTACTGAATTTTAAAGTCATGACAATATTATTTGCAAATTTTACTCCAGTTTGAATAGCATCAAACATGGAGTTAGATTTAAGCATATCAGAAATCATGTCAATTAATGAATTCTGTAAAAATTCCATTTTGGGGGCAGTAATGCTTCCTAAGTCAAAATTGTCAAAATTTCCGTTAGAACGTTGGTTAGTATATTGATTTCTACCCGCTGCAATAGCAGCATAGGTAGCTCCATTAACTCGCTGAACATTGTTAGCAGCGAGGGGAGTAGGTACAGATGAAACATTTGAAGCAGGGGAGATATTTGTACCTACGGGTACGAATGTAGAATTTGTTCCTCGCTGACCGTTGTTAACAGCAGAGGAATTTGTACCTGGTCGGAAACGTGGAGCGTTTCCTACCTGACGGTTAGAACGAGATTGTAGGATCGCTTTGCGAGTCTTACATTCCCAAAAATTGGATTTGTGGTTTTCACCACAATTTGAACATTTAAATTTCTTAGGATCTTCCTTCACAGGACAGTCGTCCTTTGCGTGAGAGGAATCACCACAATTCATGCATTTAGCTGGCATGTAGCAATTTTTAGTTCCGTGACCCCATCCCTGGCACTTACGGCACTGGGTGAGGTTTTGGAAATTTCCTCCAGTCTTCCTGAAGTGTTCCCACTTCACTCGGACATGGAGCATAAGGCTAGCTTTTTCTAAGGCCTTAAGGTTGTTTAGTTCACTAGACTTGAAGTGAACTAAATAAAAATCATTAGAAATCCCGTTGCGCGAATCGCCAGGACGGGATTTCATTTTCATTTTGATTACTTGGAGTGGCACAACTCCAAGTAATTTTGCCAGTTCATCTTTGATCTGATCCAGGGATTCACCACTGGGCAGTCCTTTCATGACAACCTTGAACACACGTTCAGTTTTGGTGTCGTAAGTAAAAAATTTGTGCTTCTTCTCAGTAAGATACTTGAGAAGACATTTAAATCCGTCCAAGGTTTCAGCCAATACACGGCATTCACCCCGACGTCCAATTTGTAGTGAAAACTTAACTTTCACGAAATTCAAAAGTTCCATGCGAAGAGCATGGAAATCGGTAGTGGTTATCACAATAGGGGGAATCTTTTCCTTCTTGGCATTAAGCCGGGAAAATTTACTAGAATTTTTCTTGGATGATGGATCATTCTCATCATCCGTGAGCAAATCAAATTGATTACTCAAATTAATTTCATCAGAAGGGGGGTCAAGAGTTTGCCCCTTTCTTTTGCGTTTTGGCGCCATGGCGGCAGTAAATTTTTATCCAAATCGACTTCCAAGCAGATTACTATAAGAATCTGAAGGATCGAAGAGGAATTTTCCAAATCGATATCCAAGAAGGATTACCTCGGGTAGGGTCCAAACAAGGATCGAAGAGGAATAAGAGTTGAACAAGGTAGAAAATTTTTACAGGTTGAGCACTGAAAAGTGCTGTTTAAATTTGTTGTAGCTTTAGGTAGTAGTAACACTTCCTTCAGCAAAAAGAAAATAGATCCGCACGGCAAGAGAGCACGATGCGGACTGCGGGAGAGCAGCACTGATTTATATCTTTTCAGGTTCAAGCAGAATGATGTGCAACCAAGTGGTATTCGTTTATGATGACTGGGTTTGGGAAAAAGGCTTATATCATGAAAACAATGATAAAATTATCATTTGGACATTTTCAAAAGTTTAATTACAGAAAAATTGGAAAAATATTTATTTCAGAAGGTTTGCAATGTAATATCCTATCGATTGGCGTATTTGGATTTTAATTTCATCAATAAATGACAAAGTTATAAGCGTTCAAAACCTAACACTCTTTCACCACACATATTTTTTGATTTGCACCCCAGTATAGTCGACAAAGACGTAGTTCTACGTCAAAATCGAACCTTCTTAATCTGTTTTTTCGAGACTGATTTCAAAATTGACTGAGTTTTGAGAAAAGTTCAAAACCGTAGAAAATGTCTTGCTCTTCGGTGAAATGACCTTCAGTGAACTGTCTTTCGACAAAATGTCGCGCTCCCGTGTAGCTCCCGTGAAGCAGATTTAGTTTTGGCTGCGTTAAATCCGAGATATTCTCTAATACGCCGAAATCGGCGTATTCAAGTTATACCCAAAATTAAAATTGAGGATAATATGGCATGGTGCTTAGCAAAATCGAGGATTATTAGAAATTGACATATTATCATCGATGGAGTATGCCGCTATTAGAGGTGTATCAAGTTAAATGTTTGATTTGTTTAGTTATGATTCGTGGTTCATTTTGTAACTAGCTTATAAAATAACTAATCGGTCGACAAATTCAATAAAATGATAGCTTAGGGCATCCTTAATAAGTGCTCTGAAGACAGCTCGTAGACTGTAGGTACTTGCGAGCCGCGAATATTTTCAATCCACAGCTTTATGAAAAAATCCTAAATATAAATCAACATGTTTGCTGGAGTTTAAGTACCACATACTGGAGTTCCACGTGCTGCTGTGGAGCTACAAAGTTGTTGGTTGAGTACGGTTAGCTATAACGTGGATTTAAATTTACCCGAAAAAATGCATTGCGGGAAGGAATGATGCACCTTTTTTGACCTACAGAGAATGTTTTGCAAGAGACGTCTTATATCATCACAACACTGGAATTCCACGTGTTTTGTAATACAAACAATCACTTCCTGGGCCACAACTGTGCAATCATCTCTTCAGCTTGTTGATCGATCAATATAATCGATTCTTCAGCATAGCTTACGAGACAGGAAAACACGTCACTTACATGCAACAGTTGCAAAATTAGTTTCCGAATCTGGGATGCATTGTTTACGTGACACACTGCCGTCATATTGTTATCATTTGCGAATTATAGCACTGATCGGTTGCAAATCGGCGATGAAACGATGATTGCTGTGCTGTTGACTGCATCGAGATGTCTTACGTTGTACAATTGTATTGAAATTTCTGCCATTTCATATTTGTCTTTATTGGCGAAGGTTGCTTTCGTTTTTCATCGAGTGAATCCATTTCTCAGAAACTAATTAGAGTTTTCGAAACAACAAATGGATTTCCATTTAACAAACTAAACATCCATGCATCGAAACAACCAATTTTAATTGGAATTGATGTAACAAACGTGGAGCGTGGACCTTCGGGTGAAACGAGCCAAAATTTCCAACCAAAATGCAGATCATCTTCCGTTTCAAGATCGCTCGAAAACTCCAAAATTGAAGTTGCATGGTTCACACGTGTGAATATTCATACAGTGCAACGGCGCGCCGCAATCGTCGTTCATCGGTTTGAAATATTTCACAATTCAAACATTCTCTCCCACACACACGGTTGCTGAGCTGTCGTTTCGGTTCGCAAACCTCTCACACTCTCTCGCGAAATTCGCGCTTGTTCTCTCTCGTCGTGAGCATTAGTTGTTCATGTTTCGCTCTTTTTCTCGCCACTAGCAGCTCCCGAGTCGCTGCACAAACAACAGGTCAGATCCAGGCGAGAAAGAGAGGTGCCACAGTCGGAAGAAGTGTGAGTTTGTTTACTCAAATGAACCATGCCCATTTTGTTATGGCAAGTTTGCTATAAGAAATGCTCCTGGTGTTTATTAGTGAAATTCACATCAAAGATTGATTAATTGCGTAGGAAATCAGTTTGGCACGGCATTTGTGACCAGCATACACCTTCCGGTCGTATGAAACAGGTCAAAAACTGTCCAAATCCGCAGATAAAAATTTTTGTTTTGAATTTCTGTATGGCAAAATAGTGAACTTTTAGTGAACATTAACGGCAAAGAACTCACCAACACTGGGAGACCGTGAGTTCCTGCCCACCTGTCATTTTCCATCTCGAGGTCAGATCGAGATGGAAAATGACAGGTGGGCAGGAACTCACGGTCTCCCAGTGTTGGTGAGTTCTTTGCCGTTAATGTTCACTAAAAGTTCACTATTTTGCCATACAGAAATTCAAAACAAAAATTTTTATCTGCGGATTTGGACAGTTTTTGACCTGTTTCATACGACCGGAAGGTGTATGCTGGTCACAAATGCCGTGCCAAACTGATTTCCTACGCAATTAATCAATCTTTGATGTGAATTTCACTAATAAACACCAGGAGCATTTCTTATAGCAAACTTGCCATAACAAAATGGGCATGGTTCATTTGAGTAAACAAACTCACACTTCTTCCGACTGTGGCACCTCTCTTTCTCGCCTGGAGGTCAGATAGTGGATTTTACTTACGCTACAGAGGCCACACATTTTCCCGTGTGGACCAGGCAAGGCATCGTCCAGAATCGAATTCGGAGTCAGTTACATTTCAAAGTGCGCGCTGAACGGTCTTGTGTCGTTGAAGTACGAGTTACATGCTCCGTGTTGTCAGTAGTACCTACCGGGAAATCGATCGACCAAAAGTGGAAGCGAAACCATAACAAAAAGAAAAGAAACGCCGCGTGTGTTTAGCCGTTCGTTTGGTGCATTTCTGGTGGTGTTTTTTTTTCGACGCTGTGGTTGCGATTGTTGTTTTTGTGTGAGCATCATTGTCGTTAATATTGTAGTTGTCCTACCAACTAGATTGAGCCAAAATAGGATAAAATCCCCGATGTGAAAAAGTGGTGGTCCAAAGGATCTGCTGTGAAGCTGTGTGTTGTATTTTTTCCCCCACGCCAAGGACACGCAAGAAGAAGCTGCGCATTTCTTGTGTGATGTGATTCTTTTGTGTCTGCTGCTGCCTCTCTCCGTTGTCTGATTGCTGGAGATTTTCTGGATTTCATCATCCGGTGAAGGTTACAATTTTTAGGAGAAAAAAAAAATAACAGATTCAAACTTTCTATAAGACTACCAGGCCACATGAAGTATGATTAACTCGCTCGCTATTGCAGAGTTTTGAAGGCTTGGAACACAGGTAAACAAAACAACTGGGCACAGAGCCAAAGGCAGCCTACGCAGTATGGTGGGACGCATGGTCCAGCAGGAAGAACTTGCCAGAAGAAAGGAACCCCTGTGCGTTGTGAATAATGCGATGCGGTTGCAAGAGTAGGCTTATCGAGATTTAGTAGCTGGCATATGGATGTATCGAATTTTGGTTCTCGCTTTCGATATCGACACATTGATGAACTGGATGAAAACATTCTCAAGGTCATTCATTTGTGTTCCCCACATGCAATGCTTTTGGCGTAAGGCTTGTTTGGAAACACCAGCATAACAGTGATCAGATGGATGGACCATGTTTCTAAGGCTGTGCATATGAGAATTTTCCGGCCTATCCTAGACAAAATTTATGTTCTTGTCGGCTAGAATATAAACAAGCTTGGATGAGAATTATTTTAAATTGGAAGGGTTATTTTAAAATTTACGAATATCGAAGTGAAAGCATGCCAATTAGAACAGAAACTTGGTCAATTTTTCAGCACTGTAAATAATATGCTGGGGTATTCGTATTATCAATAGCGTATTATCAGCTTTCAACTTAGAGCATAAGGGACGAATGACTGCCGAAGTAGCTAAAATCCCCAAAGAAAAACAGGTTAAGGGTAGCACGTCGGACTACGAGATTATGTTTGCTGCTCTATTCAAAAACATATTAAAATAAAATAAAAGGTTTAGACTAACTTCAAAATCAACAATTAATTATTGAAATTTTTGAAATTGGGCGGTTGTTGAATAAATCCTTAATTTAAGATTCAATTTTTTGAAATTAGAAAATTAGTTGCTTTATTATTCATAATTAGGTTCCAAACATGTTTATCCAACTTTCGAAAACTTACTAATGTTAGTCATGGAAAAACAACTTTAGAAATCAAAGCGCACCTGACATAACAAATCTTTATGTTGAGAAATTATGACAGACAAGTGGCTTTCAACTAAAACTTATTAAAGTTGACTTAAATTCAGTTTATCTTTGCTCAAGCTGTGCTAAATTAAAAATCTATAAAATAGCAAACGTTGTAATTGAATAAATGAAATTTCAATTTGATTGCTTCATTGAAGCATATTAAACACCCAATAGAATGGACTAAATGTATAACATATAGTTCTAGTTATAATTTTCCTAACTTTCATTTTTTGTTGTTCTCTCGAAAAAAGAAAGATTGTATGTATCACAACATATCAATTCTTCTTCTTCTTCTTCTTCTTCTTCTTCTTCTTCTTCTTCTTCTTCTTTTTCGCATTATAATCTTATTGCCTATCGCAAATTAGATTATTGCGTGCTCTCAGCTTAGTGTTCTAGATGCACTTCTACAGTTATTGTGGCAAGTACAAAGGCAAGTGTGTGGCAAGTACAATCATACTCTGCCCAGGGAAGTCGAGAAATGTTCCAAGTGAGCAATTTCCTACGAATTCCCAAATCGGTTTATTTTTGTGTTTTTTGATTTGGTTGAAAATCATATTCATTTTCACAGATTAAAGATGATTATTCACAACTTCACACGAAGAAATTGGATTTGTCCATTGATTTGAAGTCGATTACAGATAGTTTGATATGTGAAAGAAAGGCAATAGATTGCTGCCTACGACGCTGTGAAAACTGCATGGATTCATCTATTTTCGAACAAAAGTTATTGGAAGAAATCGTGGAAAAAGGCATTAATGAAACACAATTTGAACAATGGGTCACAACCGACATATGTGATATAGCAACATAAGTTAAAGAGCCGGATGAATTTGTTTCCTTGGAAAATTAGAGAAATTAATACCTCATGATTTTATAAAACAGCAGCAGTCTATGTTTTTGCAGAATACAAAACAAAATTTACAGGAAGGTGAATTTGTAGTATTATGTGATTTTTCAAAAAAAAACTACACATTTGTATTACAAGACGAGCTTGAGCTTGAGCTTGAGCTTGATTGACCGCCCACGGTTGCTACTCTGTTATTGCCAGATCAGCTGTAATTACACAGAGAACCAATAGACGATGCTTGGGACTAGCAATCATCCTCAATGTGTAAAAACTGGTGATCTTAAATTAGGCAATACCAGCGCCGGCCGCGCCCGAACACAGGTCAAGAAAGGAATGGGAAGGATTGTGTTGACATGACACTCGCTTTGATGAAAGCCGAGAACACCTCTGCACTTCCACGAGGAATCACTGGGATGTTGGATAAGAGGGTTGGGTTTGCAGCAGGGTTTGTTTTGGTAAACGATAAGCTGAATTGATTTCCTAACGATCATATAACGCGAAGGAGCTTGGGACTAAACCCACGCTTTTCTGCTCAGTAAGCAAAAACGTTTGCCACTAGGCAGACGAGCACCTTTTTAATCACTGAGTTGCTGTTATTACCATGTAGTCACATTAACAAATAAAACTATTGACGAATCTTGAATGTGGATGGGCCTGAGATTAGACTCATGATGTTCTGCTCAGTAAGCAAAAACGGTTGCTCTAAGGCCACCGAGCCCCTCATATCACATAATACCGTTGCTCAAATTTGTGTATCCATTCAAACCCGGAACCAACGACAACAACGAGTTTCGCAAAATACACGATACACAATCGATTTTACCATAAATCTCTTTGATATGTAAGGACCTGGGACCGCGTTTTTCTGCTCAGTAAGCAGGCCACTGTAACCGACGATCTTTCAAATCCGAAAACTAAAAACTACGAAAAAGTACTTAGGCCTTCATTAAGTTCCACTTTCACGCGACGTTCAATGACAGGGTCCTATCCAGGATTACATCTGAAAAATCCAAATCTGGCCAACGCCCACCTAAACCTGTTCTAATCCACCTGAAATGACTAACGAATGGAAGACTTTGATTACCCAGCCATGCAATAGTCTCATTCCGTGCCTTATGGCAACTTGATGATTCTATTGCGCTCATCTTTTGGCACCACCCAGGGGAGACTTGGTCCTGTACCCAATGCTTAACTTATCTCCATTCCACTCAGCTACTCGCAATTTCTTGTGATATAGTGGGCGGAATATTATTATATGAGACAATTCAATGCAGACGTCTTTCCAAATTTGGCAGATCGTCAGGTAATCGGTGAGTTACCACGATAGTCGCTATTCAACAACTCGCAACGTCCCATCGTCAACGCCTGCTATGAGAATTTCCCATTGCAGACGCCAACGAAATGATGCCATCGAGCTATCGATCAACTACCCTGGTTATCGCCTGGTACCTTATAGCACGATGCTAGGAGGCGAACCGGAAGAATCGATGAGCTACCTCCCCCACTACACATTTGTATTACAAGACGAAGTACAAAGTCATCACTGGAATAATCAGCAAGCAACTATTCATCCATTTATCATTTATTTTAAACATGAAGGAAAAAATAATCATTTGAGTTATGTAGTAATTTCAGAAGATTTGCGTCATGATCCTGTATCTGTAAACTAATTTATCTCAAAAATGATTGCTTTTCTACGCACAGAACAACAGTTAACTGTGAATACAATTTATTTCGTGTCTGACGGAGCTGCATCCCAGTATAAAAATCGGAAATTTGTTTCTAGTCTTTGCCAATTTAAGAATAAATATGCAATAGAAGTTGATCATCGCTTGGAAAAGGTCCATGTGATGCTATAGGAGGAACACTAGAACGTATGGCTACCAAAGCTAGTCTAGCTAGAGAACGTGAACATCCGATAAAAAATGCAAGGGAACTTTACGATTGGGCTCAGAAGCAAAACGAGGATCAGCTGACTCAAATTTTCTTTTGTTATGCAACTACTGAAGAATATGAAACTCATAAGCACGAGCTTAACGAACAATACTCAAGGGCTATAACCATTCGAGGAACTCAAAAATATCACTGATTTATTCCTATTTCTGAAAGACAAATAGAAGTCAGACACTTTTCAAACTGTAATAATGAAAAGAAAATTGTTGATACTACTGAGAATTAAACTATGGATTTCTATTACAACTATACCAATCTAAAAATGTAAAAATAAATGAAATCGTTCGCAATTATAAGTTATAACGCACGACTCGCAGCCTGCGAGATCTCGACCACCGAATACGCTTCCTGTCTCTAAAACGAGTGGCTTAAGCGCCACCTCCGGAGAGGACCACTCGTCAAGGTTTGGTTTGCCCTTCAAGAGACTGAAATTTAGTTTGAGAGCGATTCAGCAGACGGAAATCCCATGAGGGATTGAGATCCTCGCAAACAGAGACCGCTTTAAACGGTCCTAAGCGAAAGTTGGTGCTAACCGTCGTTCTACCGAAACACAACAACCCCACTCACATTTATCATGACTGGAGGAACTTTCCCTTTCAGATTTCCTCCACCGATCCTGACACGTGAGTGTGGAGACTGTTTTCCCAAGCAGTAAATTGAACTACAACAAAAAAATACTACAAAAAAAAAAAATAACACAAAATAGAACGACACCAAAATGTGAAGAATCTAGCAATTTTTGTTGTTTATCATTACGGGGAAAGCTTTTACTGTACGAAAACAACATTTATTTCAGGGCTAAATAACGGAAATCATTATATGATTTATTCGTGTTTCTAACCAATTTTTTTTTATTCATGGCACTCGTTCCTTTCTCATTTGTTCGTTTGTTTGC